GAACCAAATGACAAAACTGTTGCAAAAAGTCAACAGTTCTAACATTTTCTCAGCTCATCCACGAATGGGGGAAGGTCGAGGATCCGAGTAGTGTAATAAATCGGAGTAGGAGGACTTATAACATTAGAACCTCCACATTTTAAATATTTATCTTTAAGAGGAAACCCTTAGTAGTTTATAACTTATGAAAAGAATAAATACATGCATTTAAGAAGAGTGGTTCGCTCTTATCAAGTGAGCTAAATGTGCCTTAAAGCCTGCACCAGGAAGTCTGAAGAGTGATGAGCCAGTGTGGCATGGCTGCCGTGCGGTAGCTGTGTTTCACTGTGTACTACGGTATCACACTTCACTCCTCAGAGGTAGAAAAGTTGGTGTCCTTTTGGTAAAAAGACTGCCCTTGGGCTCTGTATAACCTGGCTTCAGAGTGGGCAGGCTGTAGTCACAGTAAGGCTCCTGCCCAATGGACCGCTCTGTCACAGTTCCTCCTTGCCAGAGGCTTATCTAATATATACTGGCCATTCCCTGGTTGTCTTTGAATCCCTGCTTTGGCTGCTCATGTTATGAGTCCCATGCCAGGTGGTAGAGTAGCCATAGAAACCAGGATCCTGTTCAGAGAGCCCTGCTGACCACAGGCAGCATGGTGGCCAAAGTGCTGTATTAAGGATAACTCTTGTCAAATGGTTTAAGGAGTGAAAGCAATCAGAAAAGAGAAGAGTCCCTTATGGGGAGGGAGAAGGAAACTGAAGTTCCAGTAGTAATCAATTTTCTTGTCAGGCCCTAGGGAACTACTGCCCCCAAAACTTCCCCCTCCATACTCCTTATTGCTCATGAAGAACGGATCAGGCCAGGTCAACTGGCCCAAGGTAAAGAAAGCTGAGCAGTGTGGGGCATCCCTCTTGGGAGTTTCTTTGAGGTATTTTTTTTTCCCCTACAATTTCTAAGATGCTAAAGTGAGCCTGGGGTGGTTGAAACTATGACCCAAGCATTAGTAGCCAACTTAACATTCTGCAAGTGGCTTGTCAACTCTCACCTGAAGCCAAGTTGTTTCAGCTTTTTGCCAAAAGAAAAGCTGACTCACGAATACTAATCAGCTCATGATGTGTCTGTCACACTTAGAGCTGTAGAAGTGACTGCAGGATGGGACAGAACAGGCAGGAAGGTTGTACCAGAACTGAGAGTTATCATGAACATCTCCCAGCATTTACGGTATCATCTAAGTCCAAATTATTCAACCACCAATTCTAATTCACTTGAAGTCACATGTGAGATGATTTGGAGGTGAGATTCTTAACTCCATGTGGACTGTGTTGTCCAAGCATGCTTGGTTCTTCGAGGCTGGAATATATATACCAAGCAGAACTACGGCTTCACTTCTCAGGATGATGGAGGCAGAGCTTAGACTCAGAATAGAGACAATCTTACACCTGCTACTAAGCAAGAGGAACAATGTAGCCTCTTAGGAAACAAGAAAACATGACTTTCTAAACCGAAGAAACGTCCGTTTGCCAGAGGATCGGGCATGTTTAGAAGTGCTTTCCACTCCACACTTATTTTTCAGTTGAGAAGCAGGGGGCAGCTGTGGAGTCTGCCTCTGGATTCTTTGTCTGCCTGACTCAAAAAGGGAGTCTGAAATCTGGAGAGCAAGTTCCCAGAAAAGCCGCACTGACCAGGACCTTCATGAAAGGGTCTGCTTCCCCAGAGGAGCAAGTTCTTGCTGATGGCAAAGCCACAGCCTTTCTGCTTATGAGTAGTCTCTCCAGGAACTGGTCAGCTCTCCTCTTGAGAAGAAACAGGAAAGGTCAAGGGACCAATGGACGTTGTTGGAGACATGCTTCTCTGGTGGTCAATATTTCCTTCAGCCTCCGGTTTTCCACCTCCTCGGTCAGCACAGTTCCTTCTCTGTAGCATCATGGCTGTCATGTCATATCATAAGTGAGGCCCCGCCCACAGGTGGACACAGTTCTTCCCTGGTGGTAGGGAACCTGTCACCGGGCCTCCTTGAACCAGTCAGTGGCATTCTAAGGACCCTCACCATCCACACATGGAAATGAAGGGAGTGAGATGAGTCTGGAAACAGCTCTGCTCTTCATGGGGAGGACACACTGTGACAAGCACATATGAAGAGGCACAACTCCATTAATTCCTCGCACAGTAAACCCAGGAGGTGGGAGTGGGAGAGGGGAGAGGCGGTAAGGAGCACATAACTGGCAATTCTCCCTGTAAATTAAACATCGGTTACCTTCTGTGTCTGTATGTAGTAATTGAAGGCAGGAAAAATGTCTTGGTGATTAACTGGTGGTAGTAAACTTTCTGATCAAAGTGAGTATCAGAAGATAGCTAGAGAGATTGCACTTATAAATAAGTATCTACAAAATATGTATGTCCTTGAGGGTGGGGAAAATAACTAGAATGTAGGTATTTAATTTGGGTTAAGTGCAGGGGGGAGTAATAGCATATTTAGCTCTAAGTTCATGGGCAGCAAAGGTCAAGTGAATAGTTTTGACTCAGAAAATTAATACCCTAGTGAGACATTTTTGGTTTTGTTTTCAGGAGATTATTTGTTTTTCTTTGTCCCAGACCTCGCATGCATACACACAGGTGTTCTTTCTCTCTTTGGCTGGCTCTTCTTAGACTTCTAGAATGATCATGTGCCTAGGCATAGGGGAAGCACTCTTTTAACAGTGGACAAGAGAGTGCCTTCCCACAAGCGGGTTACAATGTTCTGTCTCGGGCAGCTTCCGGAAGTTCCTCTCAGTTCTCAGTCTTCCCGGGATGGGACCCCTCCTCACTTCTACCCTGTAGAGCGTCTTTCCTCAATATCATGGTATCACTTTGTCTTCCTCATGTAATTCTAAGGCAGACGGGGTTTGTTAAAAACACAAACTTCAATAGGTCTGAAGGTCACCGCATCCGGACATTAGTTAATTCTCGTTCCCACAAGATCCCTACAGCTCCCTAAGGAGAGCACTACTGGCTGGCATTACTGTTACTTTTGACTCCCTGTGCACACTTTTGAATTTGTGCACGTCAGGTGCACGTCTCCAGTGTGTAAAGCACTCTTATCCAGCAGACACCTCAAATCCAGCAGCACCCCAAGGAGACTGCGCCTGTTCAACAAGCTGTTGTCTCTAGAAGGAAAAGAATTTCCGTGGCCAAGTTCTGCCTGCCTGAAAGGACTTTCAAGACAATGGAGGCTGTAACATCTGTGATCAGCAGCACTTTCGGCTGAGAAGGGAGATTCCTCGCCACCACGTTTCAAGTCGAGCTTATTAGACATGTTGCTGGAGGGGCTCGCACATCACGGAGCGGGCTAATTGGCTGCAGTGCTCTCTGCCTCCAACCCATCTCCATTCTCCAATTAAACTCCCATCATCCTGTTGTCCTGGGCGACCTGCTGCTGCCTCTGATTTGGCATTTCTTTTGGGTTTGGGATTTTGGTTTTTCTGTACTCCTTTCAAAGGTAACTTAATGAAACACTTTAAATACTCCCTTTTTTAATTTAAACTCTTTTAATTAAAGCACTTTTCATGGAACCCTCAGTCACGAGTTATTTCCCCACATCCTTCAGTACTTAATCTCCAAGCAGAATTGGAAATATCGATAGAAAGTGTAAATCATGCCCTCCTGCTGAAAGCGTTGTATCAGGTTTCGGCTCAAAAGAGCACCATTACCTTTAGCTGTCACGGATCTGTACACTTGATCGATAAACTTCAAATATTATTAGAGGTGGAGGCTTCAGAGATTTGCTCTGTTCTTTGGAGAGAGACAGAGATAAATCTTTCTTAGAAATTGACTTGAATTTGCACTCTCGGTCTTCCTGGTGAAATGCATTTCTCTTAGGCGTCCAGCAACTGCAAGGGGGACAGATTTATAGGCCATGTGCTTCTTGTACTGAAAGATTTAAATGGTAAATCCTTCACATATGACTTCACAAATCATGTAAAGTTAAAAGATTTTTACCGTTTCTGTTGCTGCTGTGCTTAAATTGTAAGGTACAGCTAGTAAATCATTTTAATGGAGGTGTCGTACTTGACTCAATAAAAAAAAGACAATGGTTTAGCTTCCACTCCAAAATGTTAATGTATTAATCAACGGGAGAATAATTGTTTTTTACTACATTATAAATCTCGGGTGCCATTAGGATTTCAGCAAGGGGTGATGTAGCCACGTTCCTAAATTAAAATTGTTTACACTGCCATACATCCATTCTGCATCGCCATAGCTCATTCTGGGTTCATTCTGGAGTTGTTCCCCAGCCAAACATGTCGTTCCTCAGTCGGAAGAAGACATCCTGAGGGAGGGATGCTTATAAAGGAAAATTAATTGCATCGTGAGGTGTTAAATAAATAAAATAAAAACCGTCTGTGGCAATGGACAATCATTCCTTGCTGTCTTTTTTGAAATAGGTTTTTAAATTGAGGTTTACTCCCTCATACATCCTAAATGTAGCAAGCAGGTCACTTGTCTCTGGTCTTATAATCCTTGTTTTATCTCCAGACTGTTGTGGCTTTTGAGCTCTTGCTTTTCCTGTGCTTACGCCATCAGGAAATAAGCCACTGGGCAGCTAGAGAAAGATACTCTGTCCTCCCCTCCACAGTTCCTGTGATTGCCTAAAGGTGCCATTCAGGGTGCTCTTAAATAGTTAGGTCTGCCTCCTTAATTAGGATCTGCAGCTGGATACAGATAGAGTGAACACCAACCAAGACTAGGTCAGGACCGGATAGACTCCATCTCTCCCCTCCCTGCCTCCCTAAGCTTGTTCCACTTGCATTAGTGCTCCTGTGCTGCTTATAATGAAATTGCCTTGTGGGGAGAACAGATCAATTCAGTACTGGACAGGTCAGTCTGTTCACCCAGTGTAACTTGATCCATCTGGATTGTTCTCGCTGGCTCCTCCATTAAAAAAGAAGGTGATCTTCTGACCCTGGAGGCAGTGTGGCCAGGGCCTCTGGTGTCCTGTAATAAGCTCTACATCCCTATTCCTCTTCTGATTTCAACAGATTCTCGAGCAGGTGAAGAAGGCTCAATAAGGGCAGTGGATCACGCTGTGATTGGCGGCGTCGTGGCCGTGGTGGTGTTCGCCATGCTGTGCTTGCTCATCATTCTGGGGCGCTATTTTGCCAGACATAAAGGTAAGCAAGGTGCTTTGGCAGGCAGGAGCCACATGTCACCACCTCCCCTGCATTTGGGGACTTTACAAGGTTGTCCTTGATAGGCAATTTGGCATATGTGGCCGCACAGCCTTTCTGATTCTGAAACTGTTAGAGAAAAAAAGCAGAAATCTTAGCAGCTGCTGATTAGGACTCTGGGAGTTGATGAGGAACACTCCTTGATTTGGATTTTCTCTAAATATAAAGCTTTATAGAGTTGTTATTCTCCAATCCATAATTGGGGATAAAGTAAAAGCGATAAAGTAAGGGGCTGGTGTGCAAGGTGTAGTGTGACCCCCGAAGGACAGACGTGCAACAGCATACCCACCACCTGTCATGCTCCAGGAGGCGGGTAAACTAGCCCTGCTTGCTCACCCTGAACTCTGGGTAACCTGGTCACGAGCGCTCTAGAATACTTTCCTTGGTGTGATGTGCCCAGGTTAAAGAAAATCCTTTGCCTTAAAAGCCACATAAATATGTATTTTTTAAATTATCAGGGCAATTGATTTAAATTGCCATTAATCATCACACTTAGCAACTGTGCAGTCTGGATGGGCAATCATCTTTTCCAGTGCTCCTCCTCTCTGCCCCATGCTGCTCTGAGCCTCTTCTCCCCTCCTGGTAATTTATTCTTCCTTTTCTTTGTCGGCCCTTGTCTTTCTCGGTTGTTTTTCTCAAGCACTGGGCAATGAGCTTGCAGGGCTTTCTAGGCGCTTGCATACTGCTTGATTGTAACCTGGGTTTGGGGAAAGTCCCTTGAGCACAGCAGTGGAGGTTCAAGGTACTTGACAACCGCCTTTAGGATACGAAGTGTCCGTCTCAAGCATAGAACAATTTGGGACTCTCAGAGCTATCTGGCTGAGAACTCCGGCCTCTCAGTGTTTAGCTTGACAGAGCCAGGGAGGTTAGGCCAGGGAGCAGGGCTGAGTCTGAGCAGCAATGTTGGAGGACCAGGGGAAGAGGGCGTGTGCGTCACTACAGACCAAGAGAGGATACAGGAGGGAAGCACTTGACCGCCCGCTTTCTCAGTTCGTCACTTTGAAAACCAGAAAATATGGCAAAATGTTTCAGCCTTTTTAAATACAAATAAGTCTGCAGGGATATGGTGTACTGTGGGAGGAGGGCTATTGATTGTGCCAGGCAATTTAAGTTCTACCTACATACTATACTGAGGTGCAGTCCTTGTCTTTCTCCATGTAAACTCTTGGGCTTTGGTGATACGAGTGTCACCAACTCTGTAACGTTCTGTCTTGTCATTATAAAGTGGCTGTGCCAATTAGCAAATCCATGAATCCGGGTCCGGGCTAGAGTTACATGATGAGAGAGAATCACTTGTTCATGGAGACAGATCCGAAGCCCTTGATTCCAGCCGTAACAATGTCAAATTATTTCTCAATCTGGAACCCCCCCTCTGAAATGGAAGGCATAGGAAAATAAAACCTATACGTGCAAGTTGAAGCACATTCTCACCTATGGATAGTCAATGATGATTCATGAAGCCAGGAGACTGTTGTGCAAACAGACAATTGGAGATGACAGTAGAAGCGTCATCGGGGCCCTAATTCATTTATTGGCTAATTGCTCTTCCTTGCTTTGGTCTTTAACCACGTGCGTGCACATCTCTTGTCATTGGTCCTTGGTGTTTACTGTTTACGCGTTAGTCAGCAGCTCTCCAGCTTTCTGCATTTTAGCTCCCACTCACGTCTTCTTCTGCTGACATCCTCTGGTCATAATCACTGCTCTAATGTCTCATTTGCTGAATTATATCGCAGCGGTTCAGTTGGAGTGGTGCCTTTGGAACCCCCGGATCCCCATTTGTCTCACCCACCTCGCTCTCTTCTTCCAATTGTTTTTTCCCCTCTGCTGCCTGCACACCACTTCGGCTGATGATGGCCATAAAGCAAGTTGCCATCTCTGTACCACTTTACACAGAGGCCATCAGACAGTCACGGTGCTTTACCCCTTCATCTTTCAGGTACATACTTCACTCATGAAGCCAAAGGAGCCGATGACGCAGCAGACGCAGACACAGCTATAATCAATGCAGAAGGAGGACAGAACAACTCCGAAGAAAAGAAAGAGTACTTCATCTAGATCAGCCTTTTTGTTTCAATGAGGTGTCCAACTGGCCCTATTTAGATGATAAAGAGACAGTGATATTGGAACTTGCGAGAAACTCATGTGTTTTTTATGAATGGGTGGAAAAGTGCGAGACTGGGAAGGCTTGGGATTTGCTGTGTAAAAAATGTTCTTTGAAAAGTACACTCTGCTGTTTGACACCTCTTTTTATTTGTTTGTTTGTGTTTTTTATTTTTATTTCTTCCTACCAAGTCAAACTTGGGTACTTGGATTTAGTTTCAGTAGATTGCAGAAAATTCTGTGCCTTGTTTTTTTGTTTGTTTGTTGCTTTTTTTTTTTTTTTTCCTTCTTCTTTTCCTTCGTGAGCATTTTTTTTTTTTTTTCCCAAATGAGTTTTGGATTTTTTTCCAAAATCTCCCATTTTGGAATTTACCTGCTGGGATTCCTTAAACTCTTTTCCTCCCCATTTTTGTTACTGTTTTTACTTTGATTTACTTTTGAGGTAACTGCTTTCAGTTCCAAATTCAGTTTCCTAAAAGGAGAACCAGCACAGTTTAGATTTCATAGTTCAGAATTTAGTGTATCCATAATGCATTCTTCTCTGTTGTCGTAAAGATTTGGGTGAACAAACAATGAAAACTCTTTGCTGCTGCCCATGTTTCAAATACTTAGAGCAGTGAAGACTAGAAAATTAGACTGTGATTCAGAAAATGTTCTGTTTGCTGTGGAACTACATTACTGTACAGGGTTATCTGCAAGTGAGGTGTGTCACAATGAGATTGAATCTGTCTTTAATTCTGTGTCTGTAGACGGCTCAGTATAGATACCCCACGCTGTCCAGAAAGGTTTGGGGCAGAAAGGATTCCTCCTTTCTCAGTGCCCTAAATAGACCCGACAGGTGAGGTCTGTTCCTTTTATAGAAGTGGACAAATTTGAGTTGCCACAGGAGGGGAAGTAGGGAGGGGGGAAAGACAGTTCTGCTCTGGTTATTTCTGTTCCAAATGATTCCATCCACCTTTCCCAATCGGCCTTACTTCTCACTAATTTGTAGGAAAAAGCAAGTCCGCGTGTTGTGCGAATGACTGAATGGGACAGGTTTTTTTTTTTTCCTTTGTGCTTAGTTAGGAAGGCAGTAGGATGTGGCCTGCATGTACTGTATATTACAGATATTTGTCATGCTGGGATTTCCAACTCAAATCCGTGTGAAACTTTCATTCCTTCAGATTTGGCTTAACAAAGGCAGGAGGTGCAAAAGAAGGGCCGGTATTGTTCTCACACTGGTCTGCTGTCGATCTCAGTTCTCGAAAGGTCAGAGCAGAGGTGGAAAAACAGCATGTAGGGATTTTCAGTTACTTAATCAAAACTCAAATGTGAGTGTTTTTATCTTTTTACCTTTCATACACTAGCCTTGGCCTCTTTCCTCAGCCTTAAGAACCATCTGCCAAAAAATTACTGATCTCGCATGATGGCAGCCATACTGCATAGCTACTCAAATAAGTTACCTTGAACATATCTTAGATGGGGAGCCTTGGGAAAAGGTAGAGGAGTCAAGTTACCATTTACATTTTTTTAAAGCGATGTGGGGGTTTTCACTGAAATGCCTAGGAAATCTAGAAGTAGTCCTGAAGGACGCAAACGAAACTCTTACCATATGTTTTGGTAAGGCTCCAGACTCCAGATAACAGTCCCTATGGAAAGATGGCATCAAAAAAAGATAGATCTATATATATATATATATAAATATATATTATATAACATTTTCAGTGAGTAATTTTGGATTTTGCAAGGTGCATTTTTACTATTGTTACATTATGTGGAAAACTTATGCTGATTTATTTAAGGGGAAAAAAGTGTCAACTCTTTGTTATTTGAAAGCGTGTTTATTTTTCTTGTCTTTATTTTAACCTTTGATAGAACCATTGCAATATGGGGGCCTTTTGGGAACGGACTGGTATGTAAAAGAAAATCCATTATCGAGCAGCATCTTGTTTACCCCTCTCCTATCCCTAGGCACTTAATCAAGACAAAAAGCCACAACGAACATCCCTTTTTCAATGAATTTTATAATGTGCAGCTCTATTCCGAGCCCTTAGCACCCATTCTGACCATAGTGTAACCATATCAAAGGGTGAGAACCATTTAGCATGTTGTTGAAAGATTTTTTCAGTTGTTCTTTTTAGAAAAAAACAAAACAAAACAAAAACAAAAAAAATCAAAAAACAAAAAACACTACCATTGCTCACAGAATTGGCATCTCATTTTCGGGACCTCCCATCTTTCTGTTTTAAAAAGTGTACAGTAGTGCAGTGTTCCTGATGTAACTTTATGGCTTACAATGTTGACATGTCTCAGGTTCATGTGTTTCGATTGGTGTTTTCCGTCTCAGGTAGATTGCAAAGTGTAGGCCCCACACATTGGAAAAAAATAATAAAAGCAAAAACAGGAAATTATGGATTTTAGTTGTATATTGGTTAATGTATTTTTTCTTAAGTATACAGTGCACTGTTTGAAATGTATTGTTGAGTATTACTTTGTACAGGTTGATCACTTTTTTTAGAGTGAAGAAAGAACAAACTTGTTTTTTTGTGTTTTTTAAAGGAATATAAAATAATGAAGGATGTATAATTGATGCCAAATAAGCTTGTTCTTTAGTCACACCAACGTCTTACTTTTCCCTCTAGGCCAGTTCTGTTTTTAAGGTGTACATGGACAATGTTACAGTGTAAGAAACTCCATATCCATATGTTCCCATTCGCATTTTGTATTGGTTCATGTATACCATTTTTACAAAAAAAAAGAAAAAAAAAAGAAGTACTATAAAATATCTGTCTTCTTAATAAAAAAATTAATGTTACAAAGTGATCCTTTCATCTCTTTATGGACTTCTTATGGACGCCTCAGCCTCTGGTCCCAGCTTCCTCCTCAGGACCCAGTGTGGGGACCCAAGCTGGCGGTATGAGCCAGGAGTGGCTGCCGGCCGGGTTTCTTGGAATTGCATCCTCTCTCCTCTGCTCATCCTTCCTGTCCTTATCCTTTTCTCCCCTCTCTGTGGACAGGTGAGCCAGGTGCCTGGCTGAACGGAGGCGCCTCCAGATGGACTTGGTGATCTGTGCAGGTGTGCGGGACGCAGCGGTGGCAGCCAGGGACAGACGCTCCTGTGGATCCGCCTCCCACCCTCCCTCCCCTCTTTCACCCACCACCCCACCAACTCCCCTGTGTTGCCTGCTCCACCTGTCTCTTATTTTGGGATTTCGTGTCTTAACGATTCATTCTGCCTCCTTCATCTAAAGTTCTCTCTCCTTTCACAAAAGCAGTGCGAGCTGCCGAGAAGTGATGTGGCTGCCTGCGGAAGATTATTCTCACTTGTGTTTAGGTTGCTAGGACTTCCAGGCCTGGGTGACAGCAGCATCCAATCTGTCGTCATCATCCTTGCCTTGCAGGCTGAAGTAAGCAATGACTACACACACACAGTCATGGTGTCTAATCTTACAAATGAGCAGATAAGATCTAACCAGCCCCTAAGTGCCCTCTCCCACCAGCCGTGGTTGAGTCCCCCTTTTCTCTCTTAGTCAGATAATGGGGAAGGCTCTGCTCTGACAGAAAAGGTAAGCTCCAGAAAAGAGAAAGGCTGTGTCCGTCACTTCTTCTTAAAACCTGGCCTGGTCCTTTGCCTTCATTAAAAAAAAAAAAGCAGATATGCAATTATTGACCACCTGCTATATATCAGGCATAGTGAGGGGTAATCTGAAGCGGTTTCTAGAGTATAGTCAAGAGCTGGATCTTAATAAGGACAGTTTAGCAAAGAAGGAAATAAGTCAGAGGTGCAGAGGGCAGTAAGCCTAGCCAGCCTGATCATGTGTGTGGCAAAATGGGTGAAATCACCCATGTGTGGAGGGTGGAATTAGCCCTGTGGCTGTCCTCGAAGTCCAGGCAGAGGTGCTGAGATCAGTGGCCTGTCCAGCCTTTGCCAAAGGAAAGAGAGCACAAATTGATCATAACTCCATACAGAGACACACGTGAGTGATTTAGGGTAGCAAGCAAGAATATGCAGGCTAGAGTGAGCCTGCCTGGGTTTAAATCCCTACCCCATGATTGATTAGCTTTGAAACTTAAGCAGGTTCCCCAACCAACCCACCTTGGTCTCCTATCCGTAAGGTAAGATCAGCAGTCACAGTCTGGGTGGGAGGGTATCAGTGATAGAGCACATGCTTAGCATGCAGGAGGCCCTGGGTTCAATTCTCAGCATCAATGGGGGGGGGGGGGAAGATAAGTGATCAGTGCTTAGGAAATGTTCATCATAATGTAGGATAAAGGCAAGTGGGGATTAAACATAGAAACTTCCACATGGCTGTGGGTAGTTACTACATAGAGGGAACTATTTGGACTCATATGTATGGACATATCATACCCTTATGAACCTTGTCATAGAATGTTTAACGATCCCTTTCCTGTCACTATTCATTAGTAGTCATTCCAAGCCATGAGGCGTGTATTAAGTGTAAAGTCTTCATCAGTCTTCCCCTTGCCTGTAGCATGAGGCTCCAGATTCAGCTACAACCTGCAGAGAAGGGACCCCAGAAGTCCTCTGCACTGAGGCAGACATGAGGTGGCAATTTGCTGCACATTTACCATTTGAGTCCACCAGGCATACAAATGAGAAGGTGCCAGAAGCAGCACACGTCAGTAGGAACTTGATAAGTAATCTGGTCCTTCATTTAGTATGAGAGTGAAAATGGTTCCCACTTCCTCCAGAGAGTATTCACAAATATTTTGGCCTGGTTGCATTCTTCAAATACATCAACAGGAACCCTAAGGTGATATGTGGGTGTTAATTGGTGCAATCTTTCACTGTCCTCCTTCTACTTGAAATGTTGTTCTTGTAGTGCTATGGATTTGCTCCGTGGAGAAATGTCCCTTTGATTTTGTCATCCAGAACCTTAAGGCAACCACACAGTCATCAAGTGACAAGTAGAAAGACCTTCCTTAAATGAAGCATTTGTATTAGGTTAAAAAAATTTTTTTTTGCCTCAGACAAAAAAATCTGTAAATACACAGATTTAGTCATGAAGAACCAGCAGCCAAACTCCTTCAGAATGAAATTAGTGTTCACAGCCTCACATACATAGTTTGGAAATATTTCCAAAAAGAAGCACTTGGAGTCCTGACCTGCCATGCAGATAAAGGG